ATATTTAGTATAAAATATAAAATTTTTTTTAATATTTCTTAAAAATATTTATTTTTTTAATTTATAGTGTCAAAACACAGAAACCAATAAATTGAATTTAGAAGTTATAAGCAATGTATTAACAATGGGAACTTCGAAAGATAATAGACATACAATTCAAGAGTTTCAAAAAAATGATGTACTTATGAATTCAATGGTAACTTCAGAAAATATCATAAATTACAATGAATTAAATTGTTCTATAGAAGATACCAATTCTATGAAAGATATAGAAAGAAATAATGTAATATCAGAATTAGAAGAAAAATTAAATTTAAATGAATTTCCAAAAGTACAAAAAGAACATCTCTTAGAAATGGCTTCTGCAGTTGAAAATGTTTTGACAAATGAATCTGAACATATAGAAACATCACTTGATTTTGATTTAATGAATCATAATCAATTTTTAAATTCCTATTTGGAAGAACAGAAAAAAATTGTTAATGAATTGCATATAAAACTTAATAATGCTGTAAGTATATACATAAATTTTATAAAAATTGAAAAATTCTAAAAAAATATTTTAAAAATAAAATATTTTTAATTGATTAGCATTGCAGAATTTCGGAATTAGAAACCAAATTAAAAGAAAAAGAAACAGAATTTCAAATACAATTAGAACGAGAAATAAATCCTTTAAAAGATCAAGTTCAAATTCATACTCAGACTACTGGAATCTTAATAGCAGAAAAAGCAGAACTTACATCTGCTCTTTGTCAAGCTCAACAAAGTGCAAAACAAAATTCTGGTTTATCATTTCAATTCATTAAATCTTTTTTATTTAATATACAATAATGATCAGAAATTTTTAATAATAAAAAATAAACATTTTTCAGATGAAGCAGAAGAAATGTTAAAAAAAAATGAAGAATTCACAAATTCGCATACTTGAATTAGAAAAAGAAATATTGTCCATAAAAAATAATAATGAAGAATTAAAAAAAAATTTTCATGAATTACAAAATAAATATGATTCTCTCAATGAACAATTTTTTTCAATTAAAAAAGAAAAAGAAGATTTAGATTTAGAAGGATCAGAATTAAAGCAAAAATTAAATTTAAAAAAAACAGAATTAATTGCTATTCAACAAGAACTTCAAGAAAAAACAGCATTGCTTTCATTAAGTGAACTTAGAATACAACAAGTAATGTCTATATAATATTATATAGGTATATATTATATATAATATATCATTAATAATATGTTAATATTAATTAATTCTTTTTCATAGATGAAAGGTATGTCAATAACAGAAGAAGAAAAACATACAGTAATTCTTTTAGAGCAAGAATTGACACAAACTAAAGAATCATTGAAAATTGTTAATAATGAAAAAGATGAAATTAATAAACAATATCAAAATTATGTTAAACAGTTAGATGCCCAACAAGCAAAATTATTAGAAAAGGTATGATAAATGAAATTTGAAAATAAAAATAAAAAATGATAAAGTTTTTAAAAATTTAATATCATTTATAGATAAAAACACAAAAAAAAATCATAGAAGATTTACAATATAAAGAACAAAATCGTGCAGAAAGAATTTCAGAACTTGAACAACAATTACAACAAGAAATAGAAAAAGTAGAGAATCTATTACCTTTACAAGATCGTAAAGATCAAATAGATAATTTACTAAAAAATATAGATGAACTTACATTGGAACAAGAAAGATTTCACATTATACTATCTGAAAAGGTATTATAATTTTATAACTTTATTATAGTTTTAATGTTAAAATTTAAATGAAAATCATTTTAAATTTATTATATAATATTTTATTTTTAAACATTCATTAAGATATATAAATTTTTAAATATTTATTAAAAAATATAAAAATTGTTAATATTATTTATAATTCATATTATAATAAAATTTATAATAATTTATAATAGAATAAAATAAAATTTATTATTAAAAATGTTCATTTCATATTTAGGATTCACAAATTGAAATGTTAACAAAAAATTTAAATGATTTACGAGAAACAAATAATCAAGAAACAGAAATAACAAAATTAGTCAGTGCTCTTGAAAGTGAACAATTAGGAGCATCTAGAGCAATTCAGCAAAATCATCAATTAAAAGAACAATTGACCGATATGGAAAATGCTTTTGTTTCTTTGGTAAGTATAATATTAAACATTATTAAAATATATTAATTATTGAATAAAATTAAAAAAATTATATAAATTTTTAATATAATTTTAAGAGTAATGCTAAATTGGATTTAACTGAACAACTTCAAGCAGAACGTTCTATAGGAAGAAAATTAAATATTCAATTAAATAATATAGAAAATGAGCTGGAACGATTAAAAACAAAATTAAAAGAAAAAGAAGCAATTCTTCAAGAGTTTGAAAAAGAAAGACTTCAAAGTGCACAAATAGCAGATCAAATTCAACATTATCAAGCACAATCACATCATGTAAACACTTTTCAACGAGAACTTCAACATGCCATAGTAAATTGTTTTTTTATATTTCATCAATATCAAATATTTAATTAATTAAATTAAATTAAATGAAAATAATTAATTAAAAAATTTATTAATTTAATATTTCAATTCGATATTAATTTAATAAGACATTTTTTTTATTATTTATTTATAATTTTTTATTACAGATTACTATAGAAAGATTAGAAAAAGAAAAACAAATACTTACAGAAAAATTAAAAGAAAAGAATTCAGACAGTTCTGTTTCAGAAGGTAATTCATATTCTATAATCACATATAATAATATTTCAAATTTTGAAGAAAATACACAAGTAGAAAATCTGAATAAAAGTACTGTTATAGTACCAGAATCTGTAAAACAACTTGAACGAAGATTTAAGGAAACAATGGAACGAGTTGCAGAACTTACAGAAGAAAAACAAAAGCTTGAACATCTTGTTTTACAACTTCAAAGTGAAACAGAAACAATAGGTACAAATAGATGATTTTTAATTAATTATTTAGTTTTTTTTACTTGATTCCAATTTTGTTTTCATTTTTTTGGAATTTTTTTTTATTATATTTCGTTTTTAGGAGAATACATAACATTATATCAAAAACAAAGAGCAGTTTTACAAAATAGAGCAATAGAAAGAGAAAAAATATTTCGACAGTTACTTGAACAAAGAAATCAACAACAAGAACAATTGCATAAATTAAAAGTTTTAGTTAGTGATTTTCTTAGAAAGAAATATATACATTCCAATGGAACAGATCGTTTGATTGAAACAGGTATATGATAATTAATATTAGGAAATATAAGATATAATATAGAATATCAATAGTTATCAAAGTTTTAAATATTTGATATCATTTTCCACTGACAATAGCTCTTAAAAATATCAAATTAATACTGTCAAATCAATATGGAATCAAAAATCATTCGATATTTCAGTATTAGTATCCATCTGCGAAAATTTCGTACCTTAGCTTTCATTTCTAAAACTACATTCAAAACCAAGTATTAATGCACTGGTTTATTTCACTTATCTTTGCATATATTTTCTTCATTAAACTGAGCTGGAATCAATACTTGATTTTGTAAGATTTAGAAATAAAAGATTGATATCAAATAAGTAATGAAATCTTTATAAAATATCAAATGAATATCAATATCTTTGTGAAGATTTTTGATTTGATAAAATATTAATTTTAAAAGTATCGAAAAATGATATTTAAAATTTTAAAATTAAAATAATTTTAAATACTTAAAATTTGTATATTGATCTTCTATTAAATAGATATTGATATTGAATTATTTAAATATCATTAATAATATCGATATTGATCTTATTAATCTAAATTTTATTCATATAAAAAAATTATTATTATATGTATTAATTAAGAAAAGTTAATTTAATTTTTTTTTCAGAAATGGAGTCCAATGATTCTCTAATTTTAGAAACAAAAAAAGAAATAATAGATTCTCAAATAGAAAATAAAAGTGTTTCAGAACTTTTAGATGTTTTAACAGAGATAAAAGATTGTAAAGATTCTTGTATATTTGAATCAAATTTTCATCTATGTCCTTGGTGTTCTGGAAAATTACTTACAGTATAAGAATACTCAACATCATATATTTTTAGTATAAAATATTAATATAGAATTTTTAATTGATAGTGATTTGTAGAATAAAATTGTATATAAGGTAAAATCTATAACAATTTGTAAATGATTGATATGAAAAAAAACTTTTTCAAACATAATTATTCTTTCTTAAAATATAAAAAAAAAAGTCATTTAATTCTAAAAATATTTAATTATTTAAGAAATCATTGAAATCATACAGAATTATACAGTTCCAATAATAATATTTACATTCGGATACAAATTGTTTTCTTATGAAAAAATAAAAAAAATGAAAATTGTTTTATTTGGAATTTAATTTTCAAAAAAATTGAGTATAAAAATCTGTTGTGTCATGTACAAATGCAACTAAAATATGGTTGATGTTAAACAATATTCTATAACTTTTTTTGATGTATTGTTATTATTAAATAATTAATTTTCATTGAATATTATGTTTACTTAAATTATATTATAAATAATATTTTAGCCATATCTATATATTTACACAATAATTTTTCAATTTATTTTCCTTATAAATAATCCTTAAACAAAAAAATTATATTCTATATATTTTCTTTATTCATTTAAAACATCTTATGAAAAATATTTTTTCAAATTTTTTTTTTGTATTTTGTATTTGATTTTTTACTTCTTTTATCTTAATAAAAAATATGTGTTTAAATTAAATGTGTGTAAATCTATGAAAATTACTATTTTAAATATATTATATAAAAAATATAATTTTATTTTTTAAGTATTTTATTTAATTAGTAAAATGTGAAAAAAATTAATTTTTTATATATTTTAATATGAAAATAATTATCTAATAATAAAAATAATAATTACAAAATTTTAATTTTTTAAAAATTAATCTTATTTAGTAAGATTAAATTCTTTGATTTGATTTTCAATAATAAAAACAGCTTTTCCTCTGCGTCTTCTTTCTAAAAAGAAAAATAAAAAAGTTAATTATCTTATTAAATTTTTTTATTTTTATAAAAATTTGTATTTTAAAAAAATATATTTAATTATATATTACCTGCTCGTAATAAAAGCTTTTTACATTGATATAATATTGAAGCTTTTGCTTGAATTTCATTCAAACCCAATAAATATGCTAAATTTATGAGATCATAAGGATTTCTAATCATACTAATATCATTTAAGCCACTTGATATTATTATATTCTGAATAAAAAAGAAAAATATTTTAATTAAATTAATTAAAATTATTAAAATTATATTGTTATTTACAGATATAATTTTTAAGTAAACATTTTTCTAATAAATATTTTAATATCATTAGAATTAGTATTTATTGGACAAACATTATTAATAATAATTTAATTATTAATATTATGATTATATGAAATATTAAAAAAATATTTTTATTTTCATTTGAATATTTCTATACCTTACTTTTTCCATAAGTATGAAAAAGATGAGAATAATGAATAGTTTGCTTCCTAGACTCAAGATTTAATAGATCTACAAATTGAATTTCAAAGTGTATTCCTCTTTCAATTGCTTGATCATATAATTTTTTATTGAGTTTAAAAGTTATATGATTTGATTTTAATGTTATTATGTCTACATTTAATTGAGTACATACAAATTGTAAAGCATTTTGTGTTTTTGGAGCAAAAGCATACAAATCATACTTTTTTAACGTGGAACAATGATTTAATATATGTGTTTTAGTAAAATCAGAACAAAAAAAAGTAATTCGATTAAAAATTTTTAATTTTCCATCAAATTTTTTTTTTATATTTTCTATGTCAATTGCTTTGAAAATAATATCCTGTGATATTTCGCTATCACCACTTTTTTTTTTTTTCTTTTATCTGTTCCAAGAACACTTTCATCTATATCAGTATTTATTGCAATTGTTTTAAATCCATATTCATATAATTTTAATAAAATAGGATATAAATTTTGTATTTCATTTTTTGGTATATTCACGCATAGATCATAAAATCCTGTACTTTTTCTAATATTCATTTCTATGATACATTAAATTTATACATAAATAACTTTATTATATTTTTAATTTACTTAAAAAAAAAACTCAATTTAATTTAAATTATTTTTTTTTATTTTATTATAATTATTTTAATTTTTTTTTAATTCTTTAAGCACTAAACACTGAATTATTATACACAAGAAAATAATTAGATAAAAAAGCCAAACAAATGTATATTGTATTCTCTAAAATAGCTTAATTTCTCTGTAATAAATTTCAGGAAAAGAATACATAACATGTTATTTCCATTGATAATGCTACTAATTGGGAAGAAATGTAATATGCAGTTAAACTTTTTTTAAAACTAAGCATCGCATTATATAATTTCTTCTACAGAAATTCACCACAAGAGAATTAAACCGTTTTATAATAGTAATTAATCATCTGGCAAATTGTTACACTATTGCTTATTCGATTTAGTAACTTTTTTAATAGCTTTTTAATAATATTGTAAATCATGCCTAAGTAAACCTAACATTTCATAATGCAATTTTTTTTCTCATTCCTTAAAAATATCACAAAATGTGCATTATGAAATAACTTTTTTTTCCTTATGTTCGACGCGTTCGAAAGTAGATTGAAACCTAGAAAAAAAATACGAAGACAGAATTTAACTTGTCATTGGTAGAATGATTTAGGAAAATTAAAAATTTTGGGAAAAAATTAAAAAGAATTCGCAACTAAAATTGCACAGAAAAAATCACTTAATTGATTAATTATTAAACATTGAATTATGAGATTTTTTATAAATTTCAGAATAATTTTATAAATATAAGTATCAAAAAACAAAATTTAATTTACATTTTACAATATTTTAAATATCTCCTGCGCATTTCGATGAGTAGAATGAATCCATGCTATCAACTCACATTTCCAAATTTTTATAAATCTGTAACAAAATCAGTATTGCCACAAAAATTCCTTTTTAAAAAAATAACATATTACTTATTTCCACAGCTACATTATCTTCGCTACTTATATTAATTCTTTTCTCAATTCTTTCAAAAGAGCAATCTATTCTAGATTAGAATCTGACGCTATATTATGATCGATTTAATAATAAGAGAGAAAAACTAAATAACTGATTTAACCTGTCTCTTTAGTAAGTATGCCAAACAAGAGTCCTATATATACAATCTCTTATATTTTGATTTGAGATTTGAAAAAAATTAAATTAAAGATTAAATTGAAAAAAAAATAATGAATTGCTACACATCTATTAAAATATATGTTTTCACGCAAATATGATTTTGTTATCAATATATTGTATATTGTTATCATCATACTATAAGCATACTACTACGATACATGTAGTGATTCACAAAAATCATAACATTTACAATTAATATCATAAAAGTCATACTTTATTGTTACATGAAAATATATCTTTATACATTCCCAGTAGATGGCATTACGTTATTTCTTTTGTTACAAATGTCAGTTTATATTATCAGTTTATTTTAAGTTCAAATAAAATATTTTTAAAAATATTAAATTATTATTATATCATTAATATTAATATTTATAGAATATAAATGTTTATATTAATTTAAATTAATAATAATTCAGACATTTACATTTAAAACAGTAGATATTTTCAAAAATGTTTCAAGTAAAGCAATACATAATTAAAAAAATATGTTTGAAAGAAAATTATTTTGACTTTAAAATTTGTTTTAAGAAGTTTTTAAAAATAAAAATATTTAATTTATAATAATATTTTAATATAAATTATACTTAAATAAATTAGTATTAGAAAATATCATCTAGTAAAAAAATTAATTGTATTCAAATATATATAAAAAAATTGCCAAAAATAATTCTAGAATCTAAAATTATACATTAGAATTTCAATTCAATATATTCGAAAGAAATATAAATTCATAAATATAAAACATAAATTTTGGTGCATAGTATTTTCTAATACCATTTATTTATCCTATAACTTATATTAAAATGCTTAATGTCATGAATTATTTTTAAAACTCACACTTGAAATTTATAAATATTCATAAATATTCTTTAACATTATTTCTTCATTAGTAAAAAAGACATATTCTTATGTGTTTAAGGAAACATTTTTATATAATTATTAAATATGTAATAATAAATATGTATAAGACTAAGTTAGAAAAACTATTATTTGTAGAAAAACTAAATTTCCTCTTTGATTTCGAGAATTTAAATATATGGTACAGACGAGATTCTGAACAACTTTTTTTTATATATATAATGGCTGGTTACTATTATATTGTAAAGAATTAGAAAAAAAAAAAAAATTTAAGAGCTTATAGTAATCATTACAAAAAGCAAAAAATATCTAATCAATATAGATCCTGCAATTGATCTTTCAATATATAATCGATTTTTATTTTTATATTTATTGATGAACATTTGATAGTGAATGAATTTCTTTACAACATATTGAATGTAAAGAGATTCGAAAGAACATTAACTCAAGGATATCATTTCACAGAAATGCAAATTTTCAATTTATTTGATATTAAATATAGAAAACTGTTATTTTCAAGTCAATTAATGTTTTTTTTATTATTTGAATGTAAAAATACTAAATATGCATTTTATACATAATCTTAGCAATTTTTATCTTTGGCAACTTTGTTTACAATTATCTATGAAATAATTGCTATTAATATTAATCAATATTAATAATAATTATATTGAAAATTTTAAGTTAATGTTTTTTTAAATCAATTCTTCTGTTTCACAAAGAAAATTATTCACAATATCGAATATTTGTTAATAATAAAAAATACAGAATGTTTTTTGTTGTAAATATTATAAACTTTTAAAATTTTGTTCTTCCATTTTAACATTTCATTTATATATTATAGTATTCTAAAAACATTAAAAAGAATTACATAAATGAATAGTCAACTGTATAAATATTCAGTATATTATTTTAGAACACATTTTAATTTTTTTAAAAATATTAAATAATACGTACTTGTATATAGAAAAAAATTAAAGGAAAAATTACAAATTATAATTAATTAATCACTATCTTTAAATTCTGCTTCGCTAGAAGGTGGAGTACTTTCAATAGGTTCATCATCACTACCTTCATCAGATTCTTCTTTCTTTCCTTTTTTCACTTTTTTATCATCATCTTCCTATAGTACAATCATACAATAAAATATAAATAAAAATACAGCAATCTTAATTAATTAAAATAAAAATAATTTAGTTATCTTTATATAAATATATAAATATGATAATATCAACTATTAATTTATTAAAATACAAATAATAAAATTACCGCAGTACGTTTATCTCCTTTTTTTTTTTCTTTGTCACTATCTTCATCTGATCCTTTTTTTTCTGATTTCTATAAAAATATTTAACCAAAATAATATGACTAATGTTTGACTAAATTAATGACTAAATTATATTTTTCAATTGTTAATTTACCTTATTGTCCTCATCGCTACTGCTCTCATCATCACTAATATATTCTTTACTTTTAAAACTGGTTCCTGACATAAGCTTATTAGGAGATTCTTTTTTGTTTTCTTTTTTTTCTTTTCTCCTTTTTCTTTTTTATCTTTTTGACCACCACCACTAGCTTCATATTCTTTCATTGATGCAGAATAGTCTTTTTTTGCTTTTGCTGCTTTTTGTTCCCATTCCTATGTGCATTAGTTCATTTTAAATAATTATTCATATACAAACTGATTTATATATAAAAAAATATGCATAAATAAATTAATAATTTTAGTCTTACAGATTTATCTTTAAGTTCTCTCCACATTTCTCCACCCTTTTTTGCAATTTCTGTAACTGCAATTCCAGGATTTTCAGCTTTAATCCTTTCTCGAGCACTGTTTAACCACATCATAAATGCAGTTGGTGGTCTTTTTGGTTTATTTGCATCCTTTTCTTTTTTTGCTTTCGAGGTTTTCTTGGTTTTTCTGACTAAATAAAATAATATTATTAAAATTATTTTAATTCGTTTCTTTAATATAAATAATTTCTTGTATTTTATTATAGTATAAATATAATTGCAAATTTTTCCTTAAAAAATATAAAAATAATTTAAGTAAAATATGCAAATATATAAAATATTTACCACAGTTTTAGCAGATTTTGATTTCTTTTCTTTCTTTTCCTTTTTTTCTTTTTTTTGACTTTTTCCAGAAACATCTGAATCATTTTCACTTTCTGAACTATTTGGATTACTATCATATTCTTCTGCCACGTCACTCTCATCCTAAAGTATCAAATCCATAAAGTAATATGTAAATTTTTAATTTTTTTTGTGAAAATAACAAAAAATATAGAATTTAAAAGTTCTTTTTGAAAATCATCAATTGATTTCTTAATTTTTTCAACAAAAAATTAAGCAATAAAATTTTATTCTACATTCTTTGTCTATTTTATATTTTTTAAAATAATCTCTTATCAATAATTTGTATCCAATCGATTTTAATTATATATTATAATTATAATTTTAATTATTTAATTTCATTGAAAATTTCAAATTTATATAAATTTATATAAATAATATAATATAATATTTATATTATATAATTTATATAAAAATATGCAATTCTAAATGAAAAAAGTTTTCTCTTTTTTTGATTTACTTTTTCATAAGAAATCACTTCCTAATCACTTTCAAGTGTATATATATATATATATATATATAATGGGATATTATACAGTACTCAATTAAATGCTACTTAGAAGCCAACAATGAAATTCTCACAAAGGATCATTCTAGAAATTGATTGGAATATAATTTGAATTTAACCAACCAATACTGTATGTAAATTTTTATACATTTCTAAAATTATGATAAAATAAATACTTGATTAGGATTGAAATCTTCATCAGTAGATTCCTCTTCAGAATCTTGATTTTCCTCTGCATCTCTTTCTTCTGCTTCAGCTTTAACTCTTGCTAAATAAGCATCTGGTTCATCTTCTTGATCGCTATCTCCAAAATCATTATCATAATTTAATTTATCCTATTAAGAAAATAAAAAATTTATCTTAATATAAAAAATCTTAATATAAATTATTTAAAATTTATTAATATAATTTATTATATACTTTTTATATAAAATTTAGTTTTTAGATTAGTAAAAAATTATATTTATATTAGAAATATGCTTACACTCTTGCCTCTATTCTTCACTCTTAATTTTTTGGAAGTAATAAAATCAAAAAGTTTCCCATATTCTTCTTTTTCAATACTACTAAATGTATGAACAACACCACTAGTCAATTCAATTTCAAAATCAAATGATCTAGTAGAACCTCCACCACGGGCAAAATTAACTGATGCAATTTCTTCAAAACGAATATGAATTGGTGGTTTATGAACATAAATGAAACCTCTTTCTAAAGGATATAAATAACCTGCAGCTGCTTTAAAAGAACAACTAATTGCAAGTGTTCCAGAATGGCTAAAATTTACAAAAAATAATCCTATAATAAATTATATATATATATGTATATATAATTTATTAAAAAAAATTTACCTAATGAAATTTCCAGGACCAGTAAGTTTCCTATTAATAATGACTTTCATTACTTTTCCTAAAACTTCAAAAGTTGGTCCAGATAATTCTTTTGGTAATTTATCCTCATATTTTTCTTTTAATTCTTTTCTGTGTAAAAAATATATTACAATATTATTAATGTAGTTTAATAAAATTTTGATACTTACTCAGAAAAAGGTAATTCAATTGAAGTTTCTTCTTCTTGATTGAACAATAATACTAAATAATGATAACGTGTTTGACCTTGTTTAATTGGTGGATCTAAACTGAACCTAAAAAAAAAAAAAAATAATAATAATAATAATAATATTAATAATGATAAAGATAAAACAAAATATTAATAAAGAAAATTGATTTTTTTAAAAACTTACCACAAAATACATTTGTCTATTATCTTTATGTGGTAATAAAAACAGCCTTAAAACAGTTGACATTGGAATCTTGTAATCAAAAGTTTTTCCATGTAATTGAAAAAATGATTGAAATATTTTTATATCATAACGACCACTAAAAAAGAAATTATAAATATTTATTTTTTAATATACGTTTTTACTATATAATTATTAATATTTTTTTATATATATTTTAAAATTAATTTTCAATGTAATAAATATATACCGAGGTGTAAGACACTGAATTTCTCTAAATATGGCAATGGCATCTCCACTGACACTAATAACAGATGCTTTTTCCATAACTTGTTGATGAAATGCTTCTACTGGATCTTGATCTGCACTATCACTAACCGGAATATGAAATCTCATTTCCATTAAACTTACAGGAGCATCATCATTCTATAAAAATTACAGAAATTTTATTATTATGAACTAAATCTTTATTCATTTTAAAAAAACATAAATATAATAAAAATATTGAAAATATAATAATGAAAATATACCTGATGAAATTCCAATGTAACTTCATTTTTACCAGTGTTGCATTGCGATACATCATACAATGGAATTTCAAAGGCAGTATGATGACCAACATCAAAACTTAACACAGAACCATTAAACCTAGCTGTACCCCAATTCCAACCTTTTAAACTAAGTTCTTTTTCTAGCATATCTTTTTTATAGTTTTGAGTAAAGAATTTTGCAATTTTTTCTTGATCCTAAAAATAAGTTTTGTTTTTGTTTTAATAAATAAATAATAATATTATATAAGATATGTAAAATGTATAAAATATTAAATAAGAAAAAATTTATATTATTAACTAAATTAACTAAATTATTAACTAAATTTATATCATTACTTACACCTTCTTTAAATCCACGAAATCTATGTAATGTTCCATTTTTAAGAAATATTCTAAGACCCCAAGTACCAATAAACTTTTGATAGTTTACCATTTCCATATCTGTCGCTGAAATTTGTTCAACTTTTCCTGTTTTTTTGATTTTTGAAAATCAAATGTTGATCTGTGAGTTTTAATCGTCCAGGAGTCTAGATAAGAAAAAATTATACAATTCAATATTTTAAATCAACTTCTTCTCAATTTTAGTAATTATAACTTAAATATTTAATTACAAATATTTTGTATAAAATTTTATTATTTAATATTTATTAAATTTTTATTTTTATTTATATTCAGTATTATTAAAAATTTTATTGTAATAATTATAAAATATAATAACTATAATATTTAATTCAAAATTAAATTTCTAACCTTAAAAAAAAAATTAATTATATAGATAACAAAAATTATTATAAAATACAAGTATCATATGTATCAAAGATTAAAAAATATTTTTATTAATTGATAAAAAGTTTAAATATTATATTATTTACCATAGCTCCTTTAACTTCTGCGATTACATCGGTATATTCTAAGAAATCCATTTTTGAGAATATTTGAAATCAACTTCTTTCCAATTTTCTTAATTATAACTTAAACATCTAATTACAAAATCAAACACTTGTTTTAAATTATTTTTTTATAATATAAAATAAGAAACTAAAATAATACAATAAAGATAAATTTTTCGCGCGTTGTATGTCACGTTATTGTTTTTAAAATATTTTTAATAAACGATTGCAACTATAAAATATAATAGAATACATTTTATATATTACAAAAAACAAATTTTTTATTTTATTTTTTATTTTATTCTTTTTTTTTAATTATTAAATATTAAATTGAAATTTATGTATAATCTAAATCTTGAATGTAATAATTAAAAATTCTAGATTAAATAAAATTAAAATCACTGAAGAATCTCAAAGAATATCTCTTTTGTCAACACAATTGCCGCGTACATTCCCACATTAAGAAAATAAGGGATAGAAGAAATAACGGGTGTCCTATTTTATTGTATTATTAAATCTAGGATTACATTAAGTTATTATAAAGGTATGTTTTTATATAACAGTAAATCAGTAACAATATAAATCAGTTATGATGATATTATATTTTTTTCGTTCTGAAAATTAAAATTAATTGTCATGATGTTAAATTTGCTGTTGTAATAATATTATTATAATCAATTAAAGCAAATAATTTTCTAATAATATTGTCGAGTTTTCTTTATTAATTGATTTTTTTTAGTAATATTATTGCAATATTATGCTTCCATATAAACGTATTTTTTAAACGTATAATTCATAAATTATATTCATGCTTATGAAACAAGATAAATCCATAATTTATAAATAGAATTACGTAGCAAATCAAAGGAAATCCTTATAAAAAATTATAATTATCTATTTTTTTATTTTTCTGAATTCTTAAATTTATAATTTCTAACATGAATAGTTGAAATTTATTCGATATTATATTCAAGAATATATTATGATATTAAAGTCATGTCACAAAATGTAAATAAATGAAAATGAATATAAAAAGCTATTACAAAAATTGTTATGAAAGTCATTGATGTGAAAGCGTATCTTTAAAGATCATTTGTGGATCTGTTATTGTTATTTTTTAGTCACATTTTTAAATTAATCTGGTCCTACCGCAAAACAATACAATCATATTATTATTTTCTGCTTTATTTTCAGAAATTAATACAGACTAGCAAGAGAATACATAAAAAAATAGTGAATATAAAATATATAAGAAAAGAGAAATTTTGTAATTAATATGCCTCTGTAACTATAAAAAAGTAAAATAAAAGATACAATGCCCAAACAAGTTTGAGAAAATAGATAAAAATAAAATAAAAATGGATAAGAAAGTAAAAAATAAAAGAATAAGTGAAAAGAAGACAAACAATAAATTTATTAAAAGATCTAAAAGAAAAAGAAAAGAAATTATCTGGAAATATAAGACACAACAAAAGATTAAAGGTATAAAAAAAATAATAAGTTAGAAATATGTGATTATAATAATTAAAGAAAAATCTTAGATAAACAAGAAAAAACAATTTATTAAAATTTTATAAAATTATTAATTATTCATAAATTCATCAATAGAAAAATTATTAAAATGATGTCTAACAAAACAGAAATCATCTATAAAAAAAGAAAAGATATTTTTTATTAACTATTTCATAGAAATTTCAAACAAAAAAAAAATAAATAAAAAAATTTATCAAAGAATTAATATTTAATCAGGACCAATTTGAAACGAAACAATTACAAAGAAAAAATAAGGATAGTACATTAATAACAGGTCAAAAAATAAAAACTTTAATATCTAGATTATAATAGATAATTTAAATAGAATTATAATCAAACAAAGAAAAAAAATAAAAGAAAGAAAAAATATAAAAAAATTCATCAAAAAAAAAAGACAAAAAATTTAAAATAATTAATAATTAGAAAGAAATAAAACAAAACATGAAATAGAAATATGAGAAGAATATATAAAAATGATAATCATGAAAGAAGTAAATGATGTCATAGACAGAAAAAAGAAAATATTTATATCAGAACATAATACTACTAAGATAGACAATGGTATACTTAAAAAAATCCAAAAATTTAGATATATAGTGAGAAAAATCTTTGAAAAAATATAGCAGAAAATGAAAAAAATTAGTGAAATATTAATTGATAAATCAACAAATCTCTAATCAATAGTCCTTATAAATTGCTCAAAGAAAATTATGGAACAAATCATCAAACTAAGCAGAAAGTTACTGGACAATAGTCAAAATAGGAAAGTAGAGAAGAAAATATCATGATTCTTATAATAAATACTAAAAATGGTTTTAAAAAATATAGAAACAAATTTATAGAAAATTAGAGTAAAAAAGTAAAAAAGAAAACTAAAATATATAAAGAATTATGAAAAAAAGAACAAAAAAAAATTACTAAGAAAAAAAAATACTTTAAGGATCTTCATTTTTTATAATATACATATATTAGATATTACAGATTACATAGAAAATTTAAAAAATCAAAGCATTAAAGTATACAGGTGATATTTTTATATAGGATAATTGATAATTGATAATTAATATAATATAATAAAAAAGGAGATGAATCTAGTAAAAAAATATAAAATAAAATTTTTTTGTATGAAGTTTTATTTTTGAAAAAATCAATTTTGATATAGTCAAATACACATACACTTGATTGTGCTTAACTTAACATATCTCGTTGTAACTTACTCTTTCTTAGATTTCTGTTTGTACTAGATAATAAAATATTAATTTTTGATAAATTGTATTATTATAAAAATTGTTCAAAATATAACATTTTGCTAAATACATAATTGTGTTCTACAATTTAATTCTATGAATGTTTTTTGCGATTTTAATTGATTAAACACACTGATTTTTTTGTATGATCAAAACTTGTAATTTGTTTAGAATAAACAATGGTTTTAATATTTAATTTGATATAACTTCATAAATAAAAATTGAATGATGTGAAATCAAATAGAATGTAATGGTCAAGCTATTAGTTCACCACAATTAATCTAATCTTTAATGAAATTAAAAAGGATTTAATGAAACAAATCAAAAAACAAAGGAAGAAAAAGGAAACAGACAAGAAGACTTCTAGACAAGAATGAAAAGAGAAAAAAAAACAAAAATTATTAATAGTATTTAAATTGAGCAAAAAAATATATCATAGTGATATGTAATATATATTATAAATATATAAATATAAATATAATATAATATATAATAAAATATATAATATAAATATAATATATTGAAATATAATATAATATAATATATAATAGATAAAGTTTTAGAGCTAGAGAAAAAAATATTAAAAAATATAAAAACTTAAATATAATATAATACAGAATTGATTTTAATTTGAGTTACAAATATATATATATATATATATATATATTTATACATATTAATATATAATTTATAAAAATTAAAATATAAATTATAAAGTTATTAAAAAAATATAAAGTTTTATATATAAACAGATAAACTTAATAATAAGAATGCTATTTTGATATTTTTGATACTTTTAGTATAGATGTGATTAAATATAAAAAAAGATTGAAATAAATAAATATTAAAATGTAAATAATATACAATATAATACAATTAATAAAAGAAATACAATATAAATAAAAAATACATAATTAAAAAAATTGTAATTACAAAAGAATGTAATATTGATATATGAAATGTTTAAAAGATATAGATAATAAAATAAAATAAATATATCTTTTTTTGTAATGCTTTTCTTTAGCAAAATTTAAAAGAGTAATAAATAATAATAATAATAATAAATTAAAACAACATAATACAATACAATAAGAAATCCATTATTATATATTTTTATATTTTCATTTTTTCTATATTTAGTTAAAAAATGAAAAAATCATTGAAACTTTAAATGCTAATTTCATTTCCTTCAGCTGATATTTTATTAACAAAAAATTGTTTTATATGTACAAAAATTGTTATAATATATACATATATATACATATATATATATATATATATATGTATATATTTTACATATTCACAATGTTTATTATAAATTATTTTTGTTTTTTCATTTTTTAATTTTATTGAAAAAATTTGTTTATTTTTAATAAAATTTTATGAATATGTAGAACATAATTGGTAATATATATCTCATTTTACTTGATATATATATCATTTTATTATCATTTTTTAATATATCATTTTTTAATTTAAAAACATTTTATTTAAAGGAGATGAAATTACTTGAACTTGAAGTTTAAGTGACTTTTTCATTATTTAAAATATAATTCTGTAATAATGCAAGATAGAACAAAACTTTTCAAATAAAAAATATTTAATTTTTCACATCACATTATAAAAAAAAAAATTAAGTAAAATTGAATATACAAAAATTGAAAGAATATTAAAACTTTACAGATAGAAAACTTTTCAGCTCTCAAAATGATTTCTTATAAAAAATCTTATTGAAAATTTCTTATAAAAAAATTGTTTTGTATATGATTCATTATATATGCATAATATGTAATAATTCTATGTATATACAAACTTTTATTAAAATTTGAAATTTTGATATAGATAAATAATAAATATAAGGTAGTATACAAAGATTTTTTTGACTGATATTTTATTTGTATATTTTGACAAATAATTCACAAAAAATTTCTAAATAAAATGAAACATTTATTTATATTTAATAAAAAAGTATATATTATTTTTTACAAAATTGAGAATATACATAAAAAAATATATTTTATAAAAATTATAACATGATTGTTGTTTATATAATGATTTTATATATTTATATAATATATTTATATATTATAATTTACTAAAATTTATATTTTTTTTTATCATGATCTATAATTTTTAACAATTTTTAATAGTTTTTTGAGAGAAAACAAACAACTTCATAACATAATAAATCCTCCAGTATCTTTAATCATCATATATTATTTATTATAATCTGTATTTTGTTGTTATCACACATTTTATCACTTGAAATAAAAAAATTAATTTTTGTCTCATTACTAAATATGATATTGTTTTAGAAATTTATATTATAATTAATATATTTTTTTAACGAACTTCAATTACTTTATTTTAATAATTTTAGAAATAAAAAGCTTTCTGCCATTATACTTTTCTTTTTGTAAAATTCAATAAATTATTTTTGTCAATATATTTAGATTTATTAATTTTATTATATATAATTAATTTGCTAATTATGATACTTAATTTAGAATTGATTTTAATTTGTCTTATTGTATTTATATTTATATTTTATTATTGCTAGACAAAATTTTTTTTCTTCTAACATATAGATTTATATGTATAACATATAGACTTATATTATAATATACTTTTGCGTCTCTAATTAATTTTTTTTATAGCGAATCCTATTATTTTTTTTAATACAAATTATTTTTTTACAATATAATTTTATTATTAATTTTCGCGCATAAATGTTTAGTATTTTCTTCTCAAAAGTCACAAATTATTAAAAATTAAAAATTATAATAAAAAATAAAAATATAATATTTCAATAATAAATTCAACAATTAAATTCAACAATAAATTATTAAAATTTTTGTACGAATTATTTGTTAAAATATACGAATAAAATAAAATATTATATTTTATTTTTGAATATGTGTGTTTATATTCATTTTCACGTCTATTTTCATTATTAACTATTAAGTGTATTTTTTTAAACTATATATCTTGAAAATGATAATTTTGAAATGTTGATAATTTAATCTGTAACTATTTCCTTTCTTAAAATTTATTTTTAATAAAAAAAAGATAATGAAAATAATATATATTTGTCTAGAAAAAATTTATTTATTTATGATTATTGATTATAAAATAAAATAATTTTAGTAAATTTACTTCTTATACAAGAAAAATTATGTGGATAAAGAATCCATTATTTCTTTAAATTTTACTATTATTTTCTTTTATTCTTTTCATGATCAAATTGATTAAATTTCACTATAAGAAACACAAAATTATTGATTTTTTTTTTGTTTGCTATTCATTATTTTTCGATGCGTAGGAAATAAAAATCTTAATTTTACAATCCAAAAATTAGATAGTATTTAAAATCGAATATTTTTATTTGATATTTTATTTTGATGCCATAGCTTTGAGCAATGATTCAGTAAATAATGTTATTAATTACAAACAAAACTCTTGACCATTTTGGCACGTAAATCAAATGTGTTTATTCGAATATTTCAAATATTTAGTTTTCATCAAAATGTAATTTATATTTGATATATCTTATTAAATATAAAAATCTTATTAAATAATATCTTTAAAATTACTTAGTTAAATTTTTCCTTGGCCATCTATAATAGTCAGTAATACCAGCAATGATTAAATTTTATTCTTTTAGAAATCAATTATTATATTTTTAATAAAATAAACGGAAGTTAAATTATGGATCACATGCGAAGCAATTAGATTCTAAATGAAAATAATATGGTCATATTAACCTATAAAATACGTTAAAAATACTTTAAATATAAATAAATTTTAACTATTCAATTTGTATCAAAATTTGCATTTTTAGATTTTATATTTATAATTTAGATTTATAAATTTTATATATATTGAAAATTATTAAAAAGAAATTAATTTTCTAAAATAAATGGAATTTCTTTGGATTCTTAAGTTTAAATGAAGTTAATTTATTAAATTAATCATAAAATGTAAATTCATAGATAATTTGAAAATTATTGAAAATAATTACATTCAATGTTATTTATTTAAACATATTTATAGATATATTTATATATAGTTATTATAATTGCGTTTTTAGGAAAAAATTTTCTTATTAGTGATTTTAAATAACAGATTTATATTTTTTTAAACTTTTAAATTTCATACATATAATCTTTTAACTTAATTTATTTAACAAATAAATCTGTAACTTTAATTTTGTAATGAATTAAATTATGTAATAATGATTAAATTTATTGAGTTTCTAATAAATTTTCTATGTTTTATTGCATATATACTTATATCTTATTGAATGAATAATATAGAGTGCATAAACGAATATCAAATAATGAATTTTTTTTATAATATAATAAAACATTTTTTATCGTTAAATGGTCAACATAAATAACAATATTTTATAAAAATAAATAAATTAATTAAAATTTTGTGCCAAAAAGTTTCAATAAATTTATAAATAACAGATTTATAACCATGTTCATAGTCTAGAGTAAAAGTGCAATTCATACCGAAATATTTCATTATTATTTTTATATACATAAATGATATAAAAAAAGTTTATTGAAGAATTTAAAATAAAATATTTTATTATATATATATATATATATATATACACATATGGATACATAGATTCTAATAGATATATATCTATTAATTTTATATTTTAAAAATAAAAATTTTAATAAAATTAGTTTGAAATAAAAAATATTTAAAAAATTGCAAAATTCATTTCATGTAAGTTTATTGTTATATTATTGTTTTTTTTATTTTTTTAAGTATTTTTTTTTAAATATATGAGTTTTTTAAGTATATTTTTTAAGAAATAATTTCTTAAAAATACTTATTGAAAAAATAATATAAAAAATATTTAAAATATATTATTTAATTAGAATATTTTTATAAATTTTTCATATAAAATTTTATTTTCATTTTTTTTTATATCAATTATTAAATGTATATCAGTAAGTAATTTTATAAATTAACATGAATCAGTTTTTTAAAATATTAATATTCCTTTTAGATAATAATGACACAAATAAAATTTCCACCATTAAAAAATGATTTGATTTTAAAAGCTATAAAAGGAGAACCTACAGAACGTATTCCAATATGGATAATGCGACAAGCTGGAAGATATCTTCCAGAATTTCAAGAGATTAGGTCAAAACATGACTTTTTCTCTATTTGTCAAACACCTACCTTAGCTTGTGAAGTAACTTTACAACCTATAAAACGATTTGATTTAGATGCTGGTATTATCTTTTCTGATATTTTAGTTATTCCACAAGCAATGGGCTTAACTGTTGAAATGATTCCTGGAATGGTTTGTTTTTTAATTTATATATATTTAAAAAAAGATTTTTATAACTTTATATAAAAAAAAATGTAAATATAATTAAATTTTATTATAAAATACAGGGACCAGTTTTATCCAAACCATTAAAGGATCCAACAGATTTAGTTAGATTAATTCAACCAAATGTAGAAAAAGATTTAAAATATGTAGGAGATGCTATAACTTTAACAAGATATAAACTAGAAGGAAAAGTACCCTTAATTGGATTTACAGGTGCACCAGTAAGTAAAATAATTTTTATATGATTTATATTATGATTTTTAAAGAAATATATTATTGTAAATTCTTTATGTTTTATGTTGTAAAACAAATATTTTTAATAGTATTCATATTTGTGAATTATTAGTGGACATTAATGAGCTACATGATCCAAGGTGGAGGTAGTTCCACAATGATAAAGGCACGCGAATGGTTATATAAATATCCTCATGACTCCCATAAACTTTTACAACTTATTACAAATATCATAATAGATTATCTTGTAATGCAAGTAAAAGCTGGAGCACAGGTATGAATTCTTTTTTGTTAACATAAATTTTATATTATTTAATATATATTTTTAAAAATAAAAAATATGTAATTATATTCATTATAAATTAATATAAAAATAAAACAAAATAGTAATAACCTCCATAAATAATAGATTGTGTAATCTAATATATTTTAAACTAATTTTTTCTTACAGTTATTGCAAATATTTGAAAGTCATAGTGATTTTCTCAATGATGAATTATTTGAAAATTATTCATTTAAATATTTAAAAGAAATTAGTGAAAAAGTCAGACAACGTCTAAAGGAAGAAAATATTTCTGAAGTACCAATGGTAAATAAAAATAAAATAAAATAAATATTGCAATATATTTATAAATAAATATATTTATTTTATTTTAATTATTATATATTATATATTATTACATATTTTTTAATTTTAATTATTATAAAAATAGAACAAATTTTAGATTGCTTTCCCTAAAGGTGCAACTATAAATTCCTTGGAAATGTTAGCAAAATCTAAAACTTATGAAGTATTAGGTTTAGATTGGACAATTGATCCTATAGAAGCAAGAAAAAAATTTGGTTCTGAAATTATTTTGCAAGGAAATTTTGATCCATGTGCACTATATGCTTCTGAGGTTTATGATATAATAATATTATATTTATGAAATTATAATTAATTTAAAATAATTAGTACATAATTATTTTTAGTTTTTATTTGTTTTTGTTATTAAATTAATTAATCTTTTTTTATAGCAAGAAATAATCAGTCGTGCTCAAGATATGGCAATGAAATTTGGTAAAATTCGATATATAGCAAATTTGGGACATGGAATTTTACCAGATACACCAATTGCATCAGTTACTGCTTTTATCAAAGGAATTCATTCAATATAATTTATTTGCTTGTATATTCATTATAAAATTTATAATAAAATACTGTTAATATATTTATATTTTATTATATTAATTAACATTTAAATAATTATATAACTATAATATAATTATATTAATATAATTAATCCAATTTGTTTTATTAAAAAACAGAAAATTTAAAGAAAAATATAGGGAACATATATAAAAAAAATATATCTTTAAAAAGATTTATTTTATGAGAAATCTATTGACAAAATTAAAATTGGATAATAAAATTTCTAATATTTAAAATATCTTCGATTTTGAAGAATATAGAAAATTTTTTTAATAATATTGATAATTTGTGATTTTATGATAAATATAGAAACTACTCTATTTTATACATGAAATAGAAACAAGTTTCATATAATCAAAAATTCACTTAGAATTCTCTTCTTTTAATTGGACAATAATTTATCATTAAGCGGAATTTTTATTTTGTTTAAATATTTTTTGTTGATAGATACAATAAAATAAATTCAAAAATTAAATTAATGAAAAATCATATAACAAAAAGAAAATAAAATATGTATAAAATATAAAATATAAAATACCATTATAAAATGAAATAAATATAATTAAAATTATTTTTTCTATTTCATATTTAAAACTTAAATAATTCCTTGTATATTACTTGCATTTAATGAAACGAATCATTGTTGTAAATAAAACAATATAATTAAAATCTATGAGAAACAGAATTAAATTCATTATATTGTATATATTAAAATATTTTTTCTAAAAAATATTATAAAAATACTTAAAATTTTTTCAAATAAAATAAATCAGGATTAAATTTTAGAAAAAAATAAAAAATTATTTGAATTTTTTTTATATTTTTATAGATTTTGACGTGCAGAATCTTAAGGTGATTATTTTAATTATCAGAATCTAATAATAATAATTCAAAAATTATTTTATATATAATGTTGCTGATATTATTAATTGACATTATTGATTATTAATTGATCCTAATTTATAGTTTAAGGAAAGTTACAAGTTTTTCGAATCATTATCAACAATACACATATTTCCAAACATTACTTATTCAATCACTAAACATACTTAATGATTAAACGAGATTATGAATTTTATATAACAGGATAATATAATTTATACATAAGTACAAAACTATGAATTTTTAAACATTTTTTATATGACATAATATTGGATTTTCATTTAATTTGATTGGATGTGCATCAGCGCGTAAAATTTAAAATTACAGTTAAAAAATTTGATTATCATATTTATATTCTTTATGCTATTTGGATAATAGAAGCATCAATATTTAAATTAAATAGTTTTATGAATAAAAAATTCAAATTATGTTATAATCTATAATTAATTTAGATTAAATCATGAATAATCGAATATTTTATATAAAAAACGAATTAAAATCTAATTTAGGAAATTGGATTGGATACGAGAAAAAAAATAATATTATGGTTGTGATATATTGTTTATGCAAATATTTATAACAATACAGTTTTTATTGAATAAATAATTATATATATTGTAATATTAATTGTATTATATGGAATTCTTTGGTTAAAAAATAATTTGAATGCATTTCTATTCTCCAAGCGGATTGGATAAAAATTTAACATGATGTCACTTATGAATATCCCTAAAAATGCGAAACTTTGAATGTAAATAATTTTTAAATTGTTAAGTTCCAATAATTAAAGCATTTTCAACTTATTAAATGCATCAAAATCGGTAAAAAAATTCTAATATCCAAAAAGTTTAATATTTCTAAAATTTAGCTTAAAACAAAAATGAATTCAATTCAATAAATAGTTTTTTATAAAATAATATACTTTAATATTTTAATATCGATAATTCGTCAATCAATAACTATAATGTATTTATTATATATTTGATTTGTTTATCTGTTTGTTTCTTTGAATGGATTATCGTATTTAATTTAACCAAGTTTTCTAGTCACCATGCAGAATAGCGCTTGCGCATTGTACTAAATTTTCAATACATGAAATTTCTCATCTAACTCTATCCCCACAACACTCCCAGCCGGAATCCGTGGATCTATTCGGGTGACCCCCGTCTCCGATTAGCGGTTTGCGCAAGCGCAGCCAGCTCTTCTGGTTAGAGTGTCCA